TTTACAGCTGGTCGGCTCGCTAGCTGACGGCAAAGCAGGCATGGACGACAAGTCATTCACCAAGGAGCTGGACGGATGGATCGAACAACTGAACGAGTGCAAGCAGCTGACAGAGAATCAGGTCAAAGTCCTCTGCGAAAAGGTGAGGTTTACCAGGCGACTTAATATTAGTACCCCACATTATTAGCTTTCCGCAGTGCTAGCCGACGCTTAGCCCGTACAGCCCCCCCGAATGGCTCCTTTAATAGAAATATTGCCTGGACTCAGACGTTATTGCATGTGGCCTTACAGGAGCACACCATTTGACTGTAGCTGCATGCTGTGGATTTCTAAGACAAGCCGAGAAGATGGAGGGGGGATGCCTGCGAATGTTTTCCCTACCTACGCCCACTGCTTGTCCTAAAGTGCACTTACAGAAGCACACAAGAAAACTCTTTAATAATCAGATTTTTTTTTTAAAGCAGGAATATTGGAATCTGGCTTATTAATAACTTGTGTACTCCACAGGCTCCCAAACTGCACCACATTCTGGTACATGCTAACCTGTTTTCTTGGTTCTCATGCGTAGGCCAAGGAGATCTTGACAAAAGAGTCCAATGTGCAGGAGGTGAGATGCCCAGTGACAGTGTGTGGAGATGTCCACGGACAGTTTCACGACCTGATGGAGCTGTTTAAGATTGGAGGGAAATCTCCGGACACTAATTACCTCTTCATGGGAGATTATGTTGACAGAGGCTACTATTCTGTGGAGACTGTTACACTTCTGGTTTCTCTTAAGGTATTTCAAAAAAAGTAATCTTAACATCGATATGGACTTAAATTTTTTAATGAAGTAAAACTGTGCAGAACTGCAAATTTTGGTATTGATGCAATTCCAAGTAAACAAAGCCAGTATTACTGATACGTTTAGTGTATAAAGGCATCTTATTGAGGGGAGAGCAGTGTGTCATGATTTTTGAGATGAATGTTTATAAATTTACTGACCTTAGAGGATAGAAGCAAAGTATCCATCCTGTTGTGCTAGTTTCGATCTGATACCCATATCAATATTTGGATTGATGCACCAAACTTCTATTACAAATGTGTTTTTCTTCGTAGGTAAGGTTCCGCGAACGGATCACAATTCTCAGAGGGAACCACGAGAGCAGACAGATCACGCAGGTGTACGGTTTTTACGACGAGTGCTTGAGGAAATATGGAAATGCCAACGTTTGGAAGTACTTTACAGATCTGTTTGATTATCTTCCCCTTACCGCGCTGGTAGATAACCAGGTAATGTTGTTTTTTCAGACCCAACCTGAAGGACAGGTGCACTGAGCTGTTATGTGTTGTTTATTTCATATTTCTTATTTGAAAGATATTCTGCCTACATGGAGGATTATCCCCATCAATAGATACACTGGAACACATCAGAGCGCTGGATCGCCTGCAGGAGGTTCCTCATGAGGTAAACACAGATTACGTAAATGCTTTTTAGAGATGTTTAGAGATTAATTTAGGAAATATCCCAGCTGACTGCTTTAGTGTAGGCATACGCATTCAAGAAAGTTCACCATGGAGTCTGTAGGTAATCACTGTATGCTCACTCTGTTCTTTTTACTGAATAGAAATTGCACTAAACAACACTGGCGTTCCCTTCGCCTTTCAGGGTCCAATGTGTGACTTGTTATGGTCAGATCCTGATGACCGCGGTGGCTGGGGCATATCACCACGCGGTGCTGGCTACACTTTCGGGCAGGACATTTCTGAGACATTCAACCACGCAAACGGTCTCACTTTGGTTTCAAGAGCCCACCAGCTGGTTATGGAGGTACTCTGACTTTGTTTGTGTACTACAAGTAATTCTGTTTTTTTCTTCGTCAGATTTACCCTTCACAGTCAGTGGCTATAAAATAGCTAACATGAAGCTGATGTCTTGATTTAGGGTTATAACTGGTGCCACGACCGCAATGTAGTGACGATCTTCAGTGCACCAAACTATTGCTATCGTTGTGGAAACCAGGCAGCAATCATGGAGCTTGATGACACGTTGAAATACTCCTTGTAAGTAAAGTTTGTCATGTCTAATAATGCAAACATATCTTTTTGCAATGAGGGGGGGATGCTACATACAAAGTTCAACAAAGCCAGTCTTTCATTACTTTAGCTGGCTCAGCAACACCTGGTTATCAACTTTCGCTGTTAAGTCACCCCTTATGTCATATGACTCTTCTTCCTCACAAAATGATCCCCGTGAGTGCTACCTACTTCAGTCATCGATGCTATCAGATGATAATGATAAAGTGGTGATGACTAGTCTATAATGAACATAATCTAGCAATTTAGTGCACAGAGCAGTAAAATAAACATTTTAATTCAAGTTAATAATTTTATGGCTGAGTGCAGTCTCAGTGCTGCTGTCTGTTCATTTCTAAGGTGATGGGTGCACATTAGAGCTCTAACACTTTAAACTGGATCCATTTAAGCATTAAAGGTTACTGTCTCATAGCCTAATGAAGGAGACGGGGAAATCTCTTTAGTTTGTTGGCAGATCAAATTAATGAAATTAATGTTATTCATTGAACGAATATTCCTGGTGTGCATTCTGGATTCAGCATAAATAATTACATGTACATTACTGTGGTAATGCATCGGGAATGTTTGCACTTCATTCAGTGGTTTTAGTTTAACAGCAGTTTAACAATCTATAATAAACTTACTGTAAATAAAAGAGTCAGGGAAAATGTGCCACTTTCAGCCGATAGAACATAACTTGCTCTCGACCAGGCTGAGCATTCAGCATAGGTTACCATGGTGATTTAGCCAGGCTACCTTTGTGACACAGAAACTCTTGACTTTAAAGTTGACATAGCTGGCTAAACAATTAATCTCACTTTGCTGACTTAAATAAATAAACCTTATTATTCAGTCTATGAGATGACGAGAGCCCTGCCCTTTGTTTGTTTTAGCCTACAGTTTGACCCTGCACCACGCAGAGGAGAGCCCCACGTGACGCGGCGTACGCCGGACTATTTCCTGTAAAGATCACTGCTAAGAACGGTAATGGGCTGCACAGAGGCTTGGGGAAAAGAAGCATTCAATCCCTCTCCCCTGAAAATGTGTGCCATAATTACAATAAAATGGAAACTGTAACGTCTAGATGAACACCACCGTCCTTTTAACTCCTTCCTCTCTGTGCATGATGTTTTAATTGCTAGAAATGATTGCTACTATGAACAATACTGTCATAATACCTGCTGGATTGTCAGGAAACATGAATGAACTAACGCTGAGAATAACGACTAGATGTTGATAAGCAGAGTGTGTCGCCACATACAGTATATACGCTGCATCTTTCACTCGGCATGGCCTCAAACAAAAGGTTGCAGTGCATACAATGTGAACTCTTTTCTTTTTGTAACCGAAGCGAAAGTGCTTATTTTGTGAGATGATAGAAACGAGTATGTTCTCTTTGCACTTTTGTATTTGATTTTTATCACATGGCACTGACAAACTTTGTTCTTTTTATATCCCGTTATAGTGTAAGTAGTTCTCTTTCTGCTGTCTCATATCCCATACGGAAAAGATATATATAAATCTTATAAAGTTTGTATCTGTCTTGTGTGAAACTTGTATGAAAAGCATAAAAGAGTGAAAACAGATATAAGATCCCTTGAAAAGTTATATAATGAAACTTGTATGTTTTGGATACTTACTAAAACAATGTATGAAAGTAATGAGAAAGTGGCCACTTTCATGAGTAAATCATGTAAGCCTTATATGATTTACTCATGAAAGTGGCCAATTTCATGAGTAATCACATATAAGTTTTTACTATTTCTTTTCCATATGGGATGGGAGTTAATGTATTTCATTTAACTAGGCAATACTGCTACAAATGACATCAGATGTAAAATAAATAAAAATAATAATATAACTTAATGTTTTGCACTCACAGCTATAAAAAAAAATTAAAACTGGAGTTGCTGTGTCATTTATTTCCCCTTTTGTACAGCTTATGACATTATTCCCGAGGAGTGACCACTAGATGGAAACAGACACCCAAAATCGGTGCAGGTGATCAGCTCAGACACTGATAATGAGCTTTATTGTGAGTGGACTATTTGCAGTAAACTGGTCATTTTAACATCTGTTTTTCTTGTTTATTTAATTTCTAAAACAGGATTTTTGCACAGTTTTTTTTAACATGGAAAAAGGTAGGACATTGTTTGCAGCATGATGTTTTACTTTTCTTTTTTATTGTGCATTTCTGATATTAACCAAATAACCTCTCGTTTGCTTTAATTTTCATGCACATGTCATGGACCACTATTAATATCCGCTTATTACACGTGCATGTGTGGAAATCCTCCGAAGTTTTAACAGATATTACTGATTTACTGCCTGTAAAATCAATGTAGCGATAGTTCACAGAGCACCGGCGGATGTAGTGCTGAAAATAAAAGCATGATTTAAAGGATTTGGCGGATTGCAGCTCAGTTTCTCCCCTCAGACTGCTGATCACAGCTCCTGCTGCTTTGCGAAAGATTGGATCAACACTGCGTGTTTTTTTTCCTGTCATTATAAGATGTTTTTCCCTAGTAAGAAGCGAGGCAAGGCTTTTATTTTGTCGGTGAAGCCCCTCGCGGTTCCTGTGCGCCCTCCGGCCGAGCTGACACTGCTGCATTGAAAATTAGCTGGCCGCAGCCTTTCAGGGACTCCTCTTGCGGACCTCCGGAGACCACCGTGCAGTAAGTAACCTGTGCTCGTTTCCCAAAACGGACCGACAGTTTTGTGCCGTGTGCGCTTGTGTGTCCGACGTGTCAAGCAGTGATCAGACAGCTTTTTGCTCCTCGGGATCCCACTGCTCGTGTGTGGATGTGGCAGGCTGATACTAGTTGAATCTGGGGCGCACAGCTGGACAATTAACGGGCTGGACAGATGTAGTGGCTAATTTGCCATTTTTAAAACGGTCGCACCTTGATTTTCATTGTTTTGGGGAAAGATTTTGGCGCCTTTTTTTCTTCTTCAGATCACAGAAACACCTCCAGTTACAGTCCAGATTTAACTGGTCTACGTCGGGTGGGACAACAAACCGTATCCATTCAGGGGGCATGTTATTACCCTGCGACCACGCACAGAGAGCCGCGTTTTGTATTATAGCACATACCAGGCTGATACAGGGGTTGAAATATGTGGGATACATAACAATTGAGTTGCAGGTTAATGTGTAGCCACGCAGGCCGCCGTTGATTGGCTGAGACTGAGGGCAGAACCAGCTGTGCGTTTATGGATCAAAGGCCGTGTCGGTACAAACTTCACTCCTTTCACAGCGCATTTATTACTGATTTGGCATCATATTATTCACGCTAACTCGGGGGTTTGAGGCCAGGAAGTGCCCTTTAATCTCTTTCCAGCAGTAATTTTGTGTCTTATTGGGCCACTGAAGGCTTTTTGACATCTCGTGAGAACCCCCGTTGAGTTTAATTCAATTTAAAGCGACAGCATGCTTTCTGTACTGCACAGATTTCTTATTTAAGCCGATCCAGCAGCCATGCTTCAGTTCGAGTTCATTGCTGCTGCATGCCTTCTCACAGTTGTTCATCTGAGGCAAAGAACAAATCCAGATCAAGCTGGGTTGGAACAGCATGCTGCATGCACATCCACAAAAAAAACCCCATCCACTGGTGTTTTTCCATTGCAAGCCAGTTCTGTCTGCTTTCAGACTAATTAATATAATAAAGTTTTAGGTAAGTACCCAGTTACAGCAAATAAAGCCACAGACTTTACTCAGTTTGTAACTTTTTGGTTAAAAATGCCACTTTCCCAGCTGTCCTATACATGCAGGGTGCTTTTCAGACTGGGAGTTGGTGTGTGTGCCCAGTTGCAATTTGGTGTTTCGCAGTCCTCCTGTTAGGTCAGCCCTCACTTAGTCACATTATGCTGAATTAGCAGCGTGGCAAAAGAAGCATTGTGCTCCGCCAGTCCTCCCTTGCTGACTTTTGTCTGCAAGAGAAATGAAGCCCGAAGGGAAGCTAACTCCTCTGCTAAGTGCTGGAGCAGGGCCCTGGTGAATTAATTTCCAGCTTTTCCGGTCCACATGTTGACACATCCTTGGAAAAGGTACTGAACGTCGAGTTGCCCAAGATGCATTAATCAGAGTGTGTGTGAGAATGTTTGAAAGCACTTTGTCATAGTACATCTGTGTGTGTGATTCTACTTGTGGTAGAAACCACTTTGAAGGTTCAAATATAGCAGAGACACGGTAGCAGTTCATCCATCTATTTTATCAATGCCCAAGATTATTTCAAACTGTGACTCATGCACAGCCACTCTGCTGTAGTCCAGGAATACAAGTGTGGAAACGAAAACGACTATGATAAGTATTACCATGTGCAAAATCGGATACATTTATTGCGCCTGTAACATTTTGTCTCCCCAGATAAAAATGGCAGCCGAGCTATCCACTTCCATAAACATCAAGGAGCCCCGCTGGGACCAGAGCACATTTGTGGGTCGGGCTAAACATTTCTTCACCGTCACAGATCCCAGGAACATTCTCCTGACAAACGAACAACTAGCACACGCGCACAAAATCATCACCGATTACAGGTAACCAGCCCGCCCAGTTTTTCAGAAACAGGCTGTAAACTCACTGCCGGTGTAAAACGAGAAATATGATTTTACACGCTCGCTGTCTTGCAGGGAAGGTATAGTCTCTCCAGGGCTGACGGAGGATGAACTGTGGAGAGCCAAGTATGTTTTTGACTCAGCTTTCCATCCCGACACTGGAGAGAAGATGATCCTGATAGGCCGCATGTCGGCACAGGTTCCAATGAACATGACGATCACTGGATGCATGATGACATTTTATAAGTAAGATCATGTGCGAGTTAATTGTCAGACTGTCACAGCCACACCCAGGCCTATTATAGCTTCTTTTTAAGCAGCAGAGCATGTCCTCGAGGGAAATTCACACATGCTGGTTTAAATTTTGCTGCTAAAGTTTCACAGGGCTGGTGTAGTGCATGCAGCATTGCTGTTTTTGCTTATAGAAGGAGCCAGTGTTATTGGTGCTTGTTGGGATGATGGCATTCCCACACAGGAGAGTACAAATATCTGTTTACACCCAGTAATGCACATTTTTAATGATTTCAAACTGTATTTTCAATTTACAGGACAACTCCTGCTGTGCTGTTCTGGCAGTGGATCAATCAGTCTTTCAACGCAATAGTGAATTACACCAACAGGAGTGGTGACGCTCCCATAACCGTCGGGTAAGAGGCAGCTGCTTTGGCGCTGATGCCGGCACATATTAACCCCTTAATTTAACAGTGCTGGTGTGGACGGTGGTTTTTGTTTGTGTGACGTGACCGGTGCCTCTTTTGTTCGCAGTCAGCTTGGCACAGCTTATGTGTCTGCCACCACGGGGGCAGTTGCCACCGCTCTAGGACTAAATGCACTAACAAAGGTATCAGTTCATCTAACCCCATCCTACATCTCCTATTAATGCTTTGACTTCAGACATGTGGGTGTGCTGGTATGAAGTTAGCCACACATGAATTGTTTCTCACTGAAAGCCCATGTTGTTTAGAGCATCACGCTCAGTAATCATGTTGTCATGCGAGCTTTTATTTGGACTTTGCGGCAGAAAGGCCTTTCTGTAAAGCATCTGAAATATTGGCGTGAATTCTTCAAGCTATGTTTACATCTGAGCTTCCTCCTTTCCTCCCGCTGCAGCACGTTTCACCGCTGATCGGACGGTTTGTTCCATTTGCTGCTGTAGCTGCTGCTAACTGTATCAACATCCCGCTGATGCGACAAAGGTAAAGATCACTGGTCTGTCCATCTGTCCATCCACTCTTAATGCAATATTTATACTAAAGATTCGCTCGGTCTCAAAGATGATATGATTAGAGTCAGTGTCATACCTCCGGTACAGGAGGAGCGACACACTGGCTTGATGACATTATTTAAATCGTCCTGAGTTCTCCTAACTGCAGTACTTTTGTGCTATAATGAACTGACAACTTGAGAAGAGCAGAGAAGTTTCATGTGTGTTAATAGTGTCAAACTCCAAGTTGGTTACGAACCATGACCAGAACATCAAGTTACTGAACCCTGGGCTCAGCTTGTTTTGATGTTCTGATGATTTGTTTTCCTTTCTTCAATGTCATACAGGAATAGTTATAAATGGAGAACACTGCACCTTAGTGAAATGATAATGAATAATCAAGCAGTCAGAGCTGTTTCATGTTTTTATAAGGACAATGCTATTTTGATTGTCTCTCCCTCTATCTGTTGCTCTTTTTCACAGTGCTGCTCCTGGATGGGTATTAAAACAGTAATTAATGCCCAGAAAGCTTTTCCCTGGAAACACACACATTTGGGATGTCTCTAATTGTAAAAGGCATCGTTAAAACATCTTTTTTTTCTCTTTTTTGGAAAAAAATAATAATGCAGGGAAAGCAGAAATATTTCCTGGATGCTTGCAGCAGGTCGTTCACTGATAAGGGCCCGCATGGATTCTTTATTTGGATTCAATCAGAGTTTCAGATTATAAATCCACTGTGATTGTGAGGTGCTGCTACTTGGGTGTCACCCTGCTTTAACGTCTCAGCAACTTCAAACTTAAGAGCCATTTATTTTCTTTCCTTCTGAATATGTTGAACAAGAAATGGGAATTTTCCTTAAACTTTCAGATTCCATTTTTGTCATTTGATATCTCGACTTCTCCTTGTTTCCTTTGTTTTGGAAGTTCTGTATGCAGGATAGTTAGCTGAGTTTGGGAGTGACTGCTAATCTCGGTAGCGCAGGGGAGAAACTACTACTACTGCACTACTGTATTCTACCAATGATATCATTTTGTTATGATAAAAAAATCAAATGCTTTTGAAAATATGATTTCAAGATATAAAGTTTAAGAAAATAAAATTCTGTTATGCTTTTGGGGCTTTTGCGTCTTGCATGGCCTCTACACCATTGGATAATCAGGTCCAGACTTTACTATAGAACTGTTAACATGTTCTCAGTTTAAGAGACATGACTTTGAGTGATATTTTTTGGTATTATTTGGATAGGAAAGTCTTTTAAGATCATAATTCATGCGGAGTATCTGTAAGCAGTAGGTAGAAGGCTACTGATGGAAAACCTAATGTGCTGTCGTGCAGACAAAGGTGCTAAGAAGTGCAAAAAGGTTAGTGATATAAATGCTAATAAGCAACTAGTTAATGACTGAAAATGTGTAGTTTACTATAAGGTGTCATTGTTCTGTGTTTTCAGGTCATACACTCAGATTTCCATACTTTAATTAAATCTTAAATATTTGTCTGCTCATTGCTGTTTCTGATGTATTACTATGAAGAACGGGGAGTTCGTCCATCTGTGTGAGGAGTCCCCGTGATATGATAAATTCATACATGTGCTGTTCATGGTTTACAGCATGCAGTGAAATTGCATTCAGTGTTTTCACTTTTATAAGAACACTTCAGTTGTTTTCATGAAAAACAGGTTTCCTGACATTTAATTTATCGAAGTAAGATGCATTACACAGCCTCTTCCTCCACTTTATTTCCCAGCTGTTGCTGTATTTCATTTCAGTTTCCAGGTTCTTCAGCAGGAGCTCTTGTGCATTTCCATGCATATTATTCAGAGCATTCAGCATTCACAGTCATCTATCTCCAGAGCTGTTACCAGTTTTGCTTGTTGTCTTCAGAGAGCTTCAGCATGGTATACCTATAATGGATGAAAATGACAACAGGTTAGGAGAGTCATCAAAGGCTGCGCAGCAGGCCATCTCTCAGGTTGTGGTTTCCAGGATTCTCATGGCTTCTCCGGGAATGGGTATGGAAGTGTTTTCTCACTTTAACATCTGGCTTCAGATATTATTATTAATTTCAGAAATAAAATCAGTTTTCCTCTCTTTTCAGCTATTCCCCCATTTTTAATGAACCATTTGGAAAAGAAGGCCTTTCTGAGGGTAAGCACACGCCTGAGTTAAGACAAAATATGAGAAATGCATTTGTTGCATTAAATGTCAGCAAGTTAGACGATCATTAACTGCCTAGCTCCTTTTTATGATCACATATTAGAGAGACCAAAAGCCCCGAGTGCATGAGGCCGCTCTCGGATTCTCTGCCGCTTTTGTGCCTCTCACTCATTTTTTTCTGCCTGGCCTTTTTCAGAGGTTCCCATGGATGAATGCACCTATTCAAGTCAGCCTGGTGGGATTCTGGTGAGTTGCCAGAGATAGTTCACCTGATACGTTCACCATCATGTGCAGTCTTCTTTCTACTACAAACACCCCACAATCATAACATAAGATCACACTGATGATAAATGCTTCCATTTACAGTGTAGTGTAATGCCCCTAATAAAATGCCCTCATAAAATTTGTTAGCTCAGTGGATAACGATATGAAGATGCTTTAGCCCGTGTGTGGCTCAATAACTTAATTATTTTTTACATGAAACTGAATCTGCTGCTTCCTTTTTTTTCTTTAATGATGACTCGCACATCATCACCCAGCTTTTCACTTTGTGCTTCCTACTCGGCGTTGCCTCACGAGCCCTCGGTGCGACCAGTTAAAGTCTTGTGTAACTCACATGACTGTGATCAGGACCACATTCTGCAAGCTAATCCACAAAAATGGGGAAGCAGGCTCCTTTTAGGAGAACGCTAATCCACACACTTCCACAATGTGTAATGGAAGTTTACATACATGCTTCATTACTTAAATAATGTGCAGATGTTTCTGCACCCACAAGGATGAAATTACAGTACACCTGGTGTTTATCAGTGCTTCAACAGTGCTTTGTGCTTTTGGTTTGCAGGTAGTGTATATGCCCTCCATTTATGCCGACTTTCTTCTAATTGGCTGCCCCTCGTGAATTGAAGGTGTTAGTTTCTAGATTCCCATTTTGAAGCTTCGAGATGAACGTTTTTGTCGCTGCCATCTTGCTCGCCAGAAAATGGATGTGACACGGACTCTGGCTCTGATTGATAACTAGTTAGCTCATGAGTGTGTGATTTCCATATCTTAGGTAATCCTCCATTTTGAAACATGGTACGACCAAGATTTACAGAATAGGTTTCATTTTTTTATTTGATGTGCCCCTAAAGAAGTAATTGATCCCATAAACTCAGCAGTGTTCACAGAGGTCAAGAATGAAAGCTTTTCATGGAGATTTCTATAATCAGAGCTATCGCCATCTGGTGGCCTTCTGATAGAATGCAGGTTTAAAGCTGTTCCCCCTCCCTGTGATGTTATAGATCAGGGGTCTCAAACTTAAATGACCGGTGGGCCGCTGCTGCCGCTGTCATCTCGTTGGAGGGCCACTTTAGTGTTCAAGTAGTAAAAAAAAAAACAATGAATCAAACAAGAAAACACCCACAAATATTGTCTTGTTTGTTTTTTTAAAATTTCAAATACTTTTGCCCCCCCTAGGCTGCGTGATTGAGACCTCTGTTATAAGTTATAGGTGGACAGATTGATCAAAATACAAATAATTTCAGTACCAGCACTGGTATTAGTATCAGACTGATATCAGTATCTCCCCTCAATAAGATCCTGATAAATGGACATTTACATCATTTTTTGAAATGATGTAAACCTCGTTTTATAGAAGCTTCCACCATCACAGCAGTGTGTCTGTGTAAATGTGTGAGTTTATGTAAACAGTTTGGTCCATTCTTCCCTACAGCGTTGCTTCAGTTCATTCAGGTTTGCAGGCATTCATTAATGCCACAATGTCACAGTATTTCAGTCAGACTCTGACTCGGCCATTGCACCTTTTTTCTGTGCTTGGGATTATCGTCCTGTCACATGACTTTCATGACTTTCACATGACTCTAGAACACTTTGGTATACAGATGCGTTCACTGTTAACTCAGTGACTGCAGGGTTTCTACAACCTGATGCTGCAAAACAGGCTTTCCAAATCATCAGCCCTCCACCATCCTCCCTGACAGTTGGTATCAGGTGTGCTGGTATGTTCTGGTTGAGTTGCTCCAGAAAGCTTGAGGTTTATTCAGATGCAACTTTGCAAACTTAAGCTACCATGTTCTTTTTAAAGAGAACGGGCTTTTTCCTGGAAACCTGTCCAAAGACACCATACCCGTTCAGTCTTTTTCTAATTGTGCTGTCATGAACTTCTTAAATTCAACATGCTGACTGAGGCCTGCAGAGTCTGAGACATAGTTCTTGGGGGGCTTTTGTTACCCCTCATCTATACTAAGCTGATGGGGCATTGTTATCACCTGGCCAGGCGGTGTGGACACGTAAGTTTGCAAATGTGATAACTTGAGAACCAAGCAACATAAGAGCTTTAAATTGATACCATAGGTGTATCTACTAAAAATCTCTAAGTTTGAATCTCGGTGAGCTCGAGAGGCCTTTAATTTAAAAACACGTGAGCTCATCATTTCCGTTTCTTGTTTTTCAGCCTCGTGTTTGCCACACCACTCTGTTGTGCTTTATTCCCTCAGAAAAGGTGAGTGAACCATTTTGAAGTTATTAGTAGTAAATCATCTTATTATTATGTGACTATATGCAGAGTGTGCATGAGTCTTTTTCTGCCAAAAAGGATGCATTACATGCCTACATTGTATGCATTTGACCCATTAACCCCTTTTATTTATTTTTTGCCCTCTAATCCAGCTCTATGTCAGTCAGCCGCTTGGAGCCGGAGCTGCAGGAGAAAATCCGTGCCAACCACCCAGGAGTGGAGAGGGTTTACTTCAACAAAGGGCTATGAGTGTGTGCAACCCCCCCAATCACCGCCCAACCTCATCCGAACACTGCCATAACACAGCTGCAGGCTCGCTCCTCACGTCTCTGCCAGCTCTCCTCATTCAGTGTGCCAAAGTTAAGTTTTTCTCTCCTCACCTCCACCGATCCAGATGGATATCTGAGGACTCCCCCTCGCTGTCAGCCTCTTTGTAATGAGCTGTTCACGTTTGTCAGTGATTGTAGATTTTACTGAAACTGCTGAAGATGTTCTCCAAGCGGGATCAAAAGTTTGATGTTTATCTCGACAGATGTTTAGTGGCCCATCGTAAGGTTTTCTTCTGTGCCATGTTTTTATTACTTTAATGTCTGTGACTTGTTGATCTTATGTTGCCATGAAACCACTGTCACATCTGTCTGCCCGGCGGTTTTTCTTTTTTCTGGTCTTTATTCTGACTAGTCAGATCTGATTACATTTGCCAAATCTGTACTTTTTAAACCTCTGTCAAGGATTTCAACCTCCTGGTGTTCACTTTAACTCACCTGCCAAATGAGTGATACTAAACAAGCCTTCTCCAGGGATACACCCTTTAAAATGGGATGTTATAATAGGCCAGCACGGTGCTATTTCATGTCTGAATAATCAGTGTTTATTGTTCTATTTATTCTAATTGCCAGACACGTGTGAACAAACCACTCTCTGGCTTGTTGAAAAGTATTCTTCTGCCTCTTTAGTGACACAGAGGCTGTGTTCAGGAACACTGACAATAAATGTTAAATTCATATCAATCATTTCAGAAAAAACACGCTGGTTCTTACTTCTACCAAGCCCAATTCTAGTATGAGAGATCTAATAACAACACAAGGTGGCAGAAGTGTTTTTACATCGTTATATGCATTTAGAGTGTCAGATATAGATGTTATAGATGTTATAGACTTCTCATGGATGCTATTTGTCAACGCCACACCTAAATGGTTCATCTCGCTAACACTCTGCCTGCTTTGAAAACTTCAAACAGTAACACATTTCGAGTCCGGTGAGTTTGAGGAATGCACAAACTCCCAGCCAAAAAGATATCTGAAGCAAAGACCTCCAGCGCCCCCTTTTACTTTATCTGCACCTCAGTCATATCTGCACATGCCATGACCAAGTTCAAGCCAAGTGAGCTGATAAAGCAGGTAGATTTTACGCTCTGTACTTTTGTTCTGCAGTCAGGATTCAGATAACGCGTGTTTGGACACAGTTGATTAACCTGTTGTGTCTAAAAGAATGTGTCTGTAAACTGTTGTAAACTCGCTTTCGGTGCCAGGCCAAGCGCATCACCGGACATTTTTAAAATCACGAGTGGGAGAAAAAAAGAACAAAGATTAACTCAAAGCAACAAAACTCACACCTTTAACCCAACTCAAATGTGTTTCTGGAACCCAGCGTGCATTCAACAAAAATTAAATGCTTTTGAAATATTTACAGACTCCTTCCCATATGATGTAATTTTTTGTGAGGTGTTTTTAAATGTTTAAACTCTGTAATCTCTTTGAATTTATCGCTGTAAAATTACAATTCTAGATTTTCAGTGTTTTCAGAGAGACGCCCTGCAGCTCTCTCCAGTTTATTTGAAGTGAAATTTGTTATTCTCGTGTTCATGGTGAATGAATGTAGCACTTTCCAATTCCAGCTGTTTGCGGTGTGTCTAGAAAAGCACAATGTTGTAGCAGATTTCCAAGTGCTGCACATTTTTAGAACCACACCGATTTCAGTCCGTGCTTGATCAATTAACTCTAACAATTAAGAAAATTCAATTTACCAAATCAAATGAAATTTCAACACAGCCAAAGCGAGACGAATCAACTCGAGAGGAAGTCATTTATAGCTTGCATTAATAATTTTTAAAATACTGTGACAAAGAATGTTTTCTGATTGTTTTGCAGTACACTGGGGTGATGTAATGTTTTGACTAACCAGATGAAATAAACTTGATAAAATCCCACAGCGAGGGTCGTTGTTGATCCACAGTGCCATCTAGTGGCTTAAAGCAAAAACAGCAATGTGATGTTACGAAAGCATTTTTATTCTAAAAGGCACACAATGTTCAGAAGAACGCGCAAACATGGACACAGATATCTGAGGCCTTATGGACACTTGAAAAAGGCATTGCACAAAAACAGCATTCTGGCAGAACTGACCAGACCAGAGTGCATCATGGGGAAGTGGCAGGACGTGCTGATGTACTTCTCATCAGGAGGAAAAGCAAGAGAGAAATAATTCGGAAACCAAAATAGCTCAACTGTTTTCTAATGATTCACAACAGCAGTGGCTGTTCAGCATCCTCCTCAAATCTGGTGGGATCTAAATAGTACTGAACTATTACTATTATTCTAGCGTTTGCTTCTCAGTAACTTGTTTGGCGGACTGCTGGGACACAGCTGTGTTTACTCTGTTCGTGCTGAGTCTCTTTGATCAAGTGCAACAGCATCAATCCTATTAAAAAGGAAAGAAAAAAAGCTGAGAAAGTGACAGCCTTGCATTAACGACAGTAACACAACCTTGCTTACTGCAGACACAAGGATGGACACGACGGCATTTCAAAACACAAGCCTAATTGCAACAACTCAAAGACATCCAAGAACATCATAATCCATGTAACAACTTCTGCTTCACTGCAACAGCAAACAATCTTCACATACATTGACAGATGACTGACTACAGCTGGAGCGAGTTGACGCGTGCTGAAACTAGAGCTTAAATCGACCTTCAGCAGACCTCTGCTCACACTTTGTGAAGATCAAGTCCAAGATAACCTCTGAATGCTGCTATCTTTGGAATGTGTTGGAATTGCCGGGTGGCACTTCAACTGGCACTTTAGGTAACACTGACATTCACATCTCACTCCTTAGTTTTGCTTAACAATCCCTTTTGCAGCTTGTTATAAAGTTTTTATGCATAACTTTTCTAAGCAATCACACATTTTTTGGGAACGTCAAAATCATAATTTACATTTGGATTCAAGAACTTCATGTTTTACATTGATGTAGTGAAAAAAAAATAGATAAATAATAGTATAAATAGTTTGGAATATAATTATACAACACTTTTCCATTTAGGGAGATTAACTAAAATAAAACTCTACTCTGTCCACTCTTAGGAAGGGAACCACTGTTTAAATGTCTTTGGATAGATGTTCAAGATTGTAAAGTTGCAACGATGATCACAGCTCTGCTTCCTGGATGTGGCACCTGCTTCATGGCTCTGAAGAAGCTGACACGGGAGAGTTGTGGATTGTAGTGTCAATGAGTTTGTCTAAGAGTGTCCCCAAGAGCGTAACCTCAACAAAACCCATCTCATCATAGTCTGAAGAGTGTGATCAGTGGGTTGGGCTAAAAGAAAACAAGGGAAAGCTTTCTTCACGTAAACAGTGCTGGCCTGAGGGCACCTACAGCAGATGGAAGGGCCATTATTCAATGTAACCCTTTTGACTTAGCATGGCCCAGCCTGGAATAAACGCACTTTCTATTGTAAGCTCCTCAGATTCAACACAAGTCATCCTCGTGGCTCGCAGCGTCCCCGACCAGCAGCGAGTGTTTGTCGGGGTCACCGAGCACGAAGCTGTTGACTGAATGCTTGTCAGAGCGCAGCGAGTTGATTGAGGCTCGACTGTAGTTGACGATGCGGTCTAGCAGACTAAGTTTGGGGGACGGGCGACGCATCTCGCCCATGCCGATGTGGACGCTGACGTCAGACAGGCTGCCCTGCCGCCTGCTGGTACCCAGTCTGGCCTCCAGCTTCTCTGCAGTGGGTTTAGTGTAACTACATAAAGATGAAGGGGATAAAATGGACAGAAGTTTTTATGAATTAACACAAAATACTTCAACAAAACCCCAAATATTTCATTACCATTTAAGTAGAAGCGAGGACAAAACCACAGAGACTGATGACAACGCCATGGCAGCAGAGCCCATCCACGGCTGTAACACCAGGCCGATGGGAAGGAACACCCCTGTAAATAGATGAGGTTCGTATTTCCACAGAGCTCAAAGTGATTTCACTATGATACTAAAAAAGTGGATGACCTCACTCTGCATTCAGCCCACCAAAGAACCTACCAGCAGCAATAGGAATTCCAACCAGGTTGTAGATAAGAGCGAAGACAAAGTTGATCCTGATCCTCTTGACGGTCTTTTTAGAGAGGTCAATACTGCCGACCACATCCAGCAGGTCATTCTGAAGACAAGAGAACAACACTGGGTAAATGAGCAGGGCGTTAATAGCAATTTGTGGCAAAAAGGGGAAAAAGTTGAAATGCTTTAAGTAAAATCCTCTCAGCACAAAGCTTTAAAAAACAAACAAAAAACAAAACAGATCAACTGTTTTTATTTCAGTCTACAAGGTTTTTTATGTTAGACTTTTGTTTCTCAAGTTGGAGAGTCACCGGTGACCTGTTGTGTTGTCTGCATGCGATTCACATCATCCTAAATATGATCTGTGCCGCTTTCATGTTACAAAACAGACACCTTTGTCGGATCAGATTCTCACCCTGATCAGCACCACATCTGCGGCCTCTATGGCCACATCTGTCCCGGTTCCTATGGCGATGCCCACGTCAGCCATGGCCAGAGCGGGCGAGTCGTTGACGCCGTCACCCACCATGGCGACCCTCTTTCCCGCCTGCTGCAGCTGTTCCACTTTGGCTACCTTGTGGGAGGGCAGCACCTCAGCGAACACTTTCCTGATGCCGACCTGGTGGACAAAAAGCAGAATGATGAGCTCAGAAATCAAACACGTGTTGGGTTTCCAGCTTAATATGACATTAAAGCAGAAAAGCAAAAAAATCGAAGCCATCATCTCTGTTACAACTTCACCATCTAGTAACAAAAGTCTAATGATAGCATCAGTATTAATCAGCTCTTCATTCGTCTGCTTTGCTTACCTGAGCAGCAATAGCCCGAGCTGTCTTGCTGTTGTCTCCAGTCATCAGCACAACTTCCAGACCCATGTTGGTCAGCGTGTGGACCGCCAACTCAGCCTCTGGTTTCACTGTGTCTGCTATGGCTATCATTGCACACAGCAGGTCTATGCACAGAAAAAAAGGTTTTTAAGTTTCAAGCAGTCAGAAAGTG